ATAAAAGTGACACTGACAAAGGTGAAAATGTTTAAGAGGTGAATTGGCCCCCAAGGGATACTTCCTCTGCTGTACTTTCCTTAAATGCTGTAAGTGGAATGCTGTGGGACACTTATTTTATGTATGGGAGAAGTTATATGGCTTGAAGTTGTATGCTACTGAATTGTCTGGGTTAAGTAGCATCCAGCAATTTAAAGCCTTCTCTTTGCTCTCTGCATATTTCCAGCATTTAAAGTTTCTTTCTTTTGTTCTTCTTTTGGGGGGTGGGGATGTGTGTTCTTCTTTTATTTTTTGTGGGTTTGCTTGCTTTCCTGGTGTGTCCCTGAGCCTTCAGGAGAGATAAGAAGCTTCCTTCCTGATGCAGGAGTATCATGTCCTGCTGGCTGTGGCCCACCACACTCGGTCCCTTTGCCCACTGTGTTCAGGGCTTGGCCAAGGTGAGGCTGTGACATTCCCTTGTCAATCCCTTACCTGAGAAAGTAAAGGAGGAACCACTAGTCCCAGCCCTAGAAAAAGCCACAGAGGTTTCAGGCCAGGTTATTTATTTTTCTGGTGTTGCATTTTGTGCTGTGCCATTCAGGACAGAGGCAAAGTCATAGAGGCAGGAGGGTGAAAGCAGTTCTACCCTTTTTCCTGTCACAGCAACTTGTCAGGGAATCTCTAATAGCTATTTTTATTCTCGCATCGGTTGAGTCAAATCCATTCGTTTCAAAATTACTGCCCTGACATTTGAACCTTTCAGGCAGACTGCTAGTGGCAGCACCTTATTTTTCTGTTGGAAAAGGATTAAAAAAAATCGTTGACATGTAATTAAAGGAGCCAGATAGAATGACATCCATTATTGAATAATGAGCTATAAATCCTTTGTTACAAATCACTTTAACGTAGCAATGGTATGGGAGGATTCAGAGAGGATGATGACTTGTTTAGCTTCAGTACTGATCTTGTACATAGACAAAAGCTCATGAGAGTTGTTCCGTTAAAGACACACCTTTACAGAGCAGACAAAATCTTGGACCAAAATGGCAAAATGGAGCAGGCAGGAGTGAGCCTCTGTATCAGTAAGACCCCAAACACATCATGTGAAAACAGAAAATATCCTTAAAAATCCCCTATTTCTGTTTGCTTGCAGTGCAGTGAGCCCTGTGCAGGCACTGCCCATGTGGCTCCCCAGGCCCAGGAAATCCTTGCAGCCCAGGTGCCGGGCAGGGTCCGTGTGGGAGGTGAGCATGGAGTGATACTCTGCATGTCCTCCCTGCTGCACTTGTGCTGGTCTTACAGTGCCAAGTACCTAACCCAGGGATATGTAGGATCTGTGACCCATGTGCTGCACCTAATCACACTAGTGGAAGGAGAGGGATAAGGAGATTAAACCTTACTTGGCCTTTTTAAACTTGCTGAGTCTCCGTCTGGATGTCTGTGTACAATTTTTTTAAGAGTCAGGACTGTAGAGTTCTGGACAGGTGAACTCCATCTTACATCTACTTTTCTGAAGTATCCATCTACAAATGTGTTTTCTGTCTGTATAACTGTTGTCTCTCAGAATTCAAAATATTACTAATACATAGCTTCTAATTGAGTACTAAGCTATAATTAATAGTTCTTTTTAATTAAAAGGAAGCTTCAATGACCTAAGATGTCAGAATATTGAAAGTAATTAATTGTAAATTAGAAGCCACTTGTTAGGTTTAACAAAACAAAATTAAAATTGAGAAAATGGTTTTATGCTGTAAGGGGTAAGCTTTACATGGGGTAAATAGTTGTAATTATAATCTGAATTATCTTTTTATCAGTGCTAAAATATAAAATTTCTCTATTGCATGAAACCTAGATAAGTTTTGGAGGCATTTTGTATAATACTATGGGGTTCAGCAGAGATAGGTAGGGGTTGAGACTGACATGGGATAGAAACAAATGTAGGTTAGCTGAAATTCTAGGGCAGCTCAGAGATGTTTTAACAAAGTGTGATTCTACAATGTTTTTAAGAAGAGAGGAAAAACAAATAAACGTTTTTCTTTTCTAGTAATACAGTCTGCAAAGATTTTGACATCTGTCTTTAGTGGTAACTGAAAGCTGAAGGATTTGGGAAAACTGAACTGTCTGTGTGGGTAGAATCAGAGGAATGTTCTTTAATGCCACATCCCAGGATTTGAGCTGGTTTCTGTGCAAGATGCATAAGACACAATCTTTTTTATGCTGTATGTAAAAAAAGACTGGACCTCTGGTAAAATGATCGTGATGTTCCAAAAGTTCAAAGATTTGCTCCATTTAGACCCCCTGCAATTGAGAAAACTTTTGAAATTTTTCTCTCTTACCTCTGGACAAATCCCCTTGCATCCCCCTTAATACAGGCCTGGCCCATGCTCTCTTGCTTTGACTCATTCCTGATCTGAATTAGCTCCCACTTAAGCTCCTGTATTGCTTGAAGAATCTCTGTCTGTCTGGTCTGACAGGTTGCTGCTGCCACATATCAGGCATTCTCAGGGACTCTCCTCAGGATTAGAAAGGTACAAAACCTATCCAGTGCCTCTGCCTGTGAGGAAGCCCATCAGCAAGCAAGACTTGGAGACAATTTGGTTAAACATTACTGAGTCTGCTGAGACACAACCGTGTGTTTCACAGAACATCAGCACAGGGATCCCCCCACGCCTTTGGTAAAGAAGTGGCTGGGTGATTTTACAGTGATATACATCCAGGTGGACCTGTCTCTGGAAAATGTAATTTGATTTATGCTGTTGAGAAAAGCCAGTTTCCAAGACAGTTTTATCAGTGTATTCGTAATTCTATGGTAAGTGTAACCCCTGACATAATCTACCTACTCTCCTTCTTAGATCTTATTCTTACAGGTACATTGGAGACCAAGACATCAGAGCCTAACTCAACAAACTAGGACAGAGCACAATGCAGTGAGCTAGTGTCACAGAATATTTGAGCATCCCACATGTCCTGGGGACAGATCAGTACAAAGCTGGTTAGAGAAGCTGTTATGTGCCTCAGCTATTGCAGTATGTGTCAACTCATGCAAGAGGCAAAGGAAAGCAGCTAAAATGTAAAAGAATTAGTTAACTTGTAGAAACGATTTCTGGAAGAGTCAAATAGTAAGAACTTTTACTACAGTCTTGCTTTAATACTTGACCTTTAATTAAAAATGCACCTTCTTTTACACATCTTTTTTTATATAGGCATGTAGTTTCCAACTGAAATATTTTTATATTTGATGCCACCTCTTAATGGGAATAGGTTTTCTTCTATAATGAGAGCCAGATAAAAATGTCTAAAATAATGCCTTTATTAGTGCTTCATCACTTAAAACAATGACCAGTAGCTTCATGCACTTCATGCAATTGCATATGATGTGCCTTTGCTAGTACTGCAAATATCTTGGGTAGTGTAGATAAAGAAATGTGTCACCAAGGAAGTACATTAGTCAGTTGGGTTGCGTTCTGACATTAAGCTGTTTCAGTTTAATTTTGTTATCTGGTCAGTTGTAGTATTCTGATGGGACTGGAGAAGATATGGTAACAGGAAGAGGGTGATATGAGAAAACCTCATGTGCTATGTTAGATTGAGTGGGTCAAACGCATGGCGTTGTTTATAGATAAAGAAGTCTGTTCCTGTTGGTTAGCAGTTACTTTTATTATGGAGCAGAGGAAAAGATAGTTCTACTTCATCCCTGTTTCAATCCAGTAGAAGTCCATTCCTCATCTAAGCTTTAGTGATTGTTTATTCAATGTGACATGATGTCTTTGGGAAGAGTGACATAAAAGAGAGGAAATGACGTTTGGAGGGGAAAATGCCACTTGACCTCATGGGTTTGTCCTCCCTTAAGTTTTTCTTAAACCCCCACTTTTCTGTTTTGTCACTAGATCCTTTAATCCCTTCTCTCTCCATAAAAGTGCCAAGATGTCTCCAAGCCACTTAGACTGCAGTGCTTGTTTCCATGTTCTTACTTGGCAACTAATTCCATGAGTTCATTATTCTGACCCTGAGTGAAATAGTTTGAATTTCCGGTATACACAATTATTTTGGGTTATGACTTCTGACTTTTGAACCCCTCACCAGAATGCACCATTTAAATCTCTTCATCAGCTCTGAGTGCTGTCACTGGGTCAGCTCAGTGTCAATATTCCTCTAGCAGCACTATGCTAGTCGGAATTTCTTCCTACGTCTTCTCTTGGAACAACTGCAGCAAAATCTGGAATCTTCTGTTCAGAAGGCATGATCCTTTCACTATTATTCATGTTCTCCAGGAGTCATGGGACTGTTTACAGCATTTGAGACAGTGAGGTGCTGTATGAAAAGTGAGCTGGACTCAGTAACTAGTAGTCCTTGTTGTGTATTTCATGCTCTCTGCAACTGTGCTGGGCTGCTGTGCTGGTCTCATCTGCAGCAATACTAGTAAGCAGCACAAGCAATTTTAGTACATGATCTGAGTGCAAAAAGAGGTATAACCTCGGAAAGCTGATCTGTTGATGTTCCTCTGTGTTGTAAAAATATTCTATATGCATTTTGTTTTCAGTTTTTAAAACATCTCCAATTTAAAAAAAAATAATTAAAATATAGCAGATATTAAATACCTAGTCACTGCACATTGATATAGATCATCTAATTTATCTTATTCTTTTTTTCACATATTCTGCTCTGTAGCTGTAGGAAGTAATATGATATTAAAGAGTGATTTTCCTTCCAGTTGCTTCATCCATTTATTGTATTGATATTGTCAAGTACTCCTGTAAAATAAACTCACACACAGCCCAGACCCGCTTAATTCAGCCAAATGCTGATCTGCCAGTATATATCTTTAGTGAAGCCTGATTTGGTGGAAAGGAGTTCAATTGAGGGTGCAAAATGGACCTACGGATGGATTCCCAGATGGAACTCTTTTGAAGTCTGTGTAAAAGCTGATAATAATCTCCTAAAATGCACTCTAAGCCAAAAAAGAGCTGAAAAGGACTTACACCACTGAAGTGGTATTTACTATTTTTTATTTCCTTCCTTAGCTTACTATCAGCCATGGGAATTTACAAGCTTTCCAACAAGACTGAAGAAGTCCAGGAAACCACAATGACAGATCCACTTGAAACAACCATTTCATGTGAGTGAGTTGAGAAAATACAAAATATTTTTTATCAGTGTCTGAAGATGTCTGTTGGAAACATCACTAGTACTACAAAGTTCAGTGCAATAAAAGGAGTGTTTCTCTTGCACAGCTGGCAGACATTTGTTGGCATCAGTATTTTTTTATGTGAAGGCCACTGTAAGCAATCCAGTTCTCCCAGAAATGAGTCTAAGATTACAAATTTTGGGCACATTCTTCAAGAGATTTGTTTTTCTCTTTAAACATTAATTCATAAACAAGATAATCTGCTAAGAAAAATCTCAATGTCTTTGTGAGTTTTTTTGACTATGCAAAAGTCAATAAACATGTAAAAAGTTGACAGTGTGAACAACATAAAGTGTTGATCAGTATAAGAAAAAACCCTCTTGTTCTGAATTTGTTTGGCTTGAAAATTCTTTCTTCTATTTTGGCCAGAAATAAGAGGTAGTATGAGGAAGGAAGTCTTTTTAGAAGTATGTAGGTAGCCATCAGCCAGAACCAGAAAGTTCAGAGGCACACAAAAAATGAATAGGGATAAAAAAAGGTAAGAAATTCCTTGCAGACCTCGAATAGAATAGAATAGAATAGAATAGAATAGAATAGAATAGAATAGAACAGAACAGAATATGCTGAGTTGGAAGGGATCCATGAGAATCATTAAGTCCAACACCTGGCCCTGCAGAGATCCCCTGAGAATCACACTATGTGCCTGAGAGCATTGTCCAAACACTTTTTGAACCCAGACAGGCTTGGTGCTGTGCCCACTTCCCTGGGGAGCCTGTTCAGTGCCCAACCACC